TGCAAGATGATTATGTAGAAAGACAATGATGACAATAACCAAACTGTGAGGAAAGAAACAGCTAATACTTGAGGGCAAGGCAAAAAAGAAAAATTTAGATTTGACCATATGGATCACTAGCACTAAAGTGAAAAATCAGACTGACTGAAGTTGGATCATGAAGGTAGGAAGCTCAGGGACAGACCATAGAGGCTTTTAAAAAAAGACAATGGAGACTGCCTTAAATAGTGGTAGACAGGCACGAGTCCTTCCAAAGAAACTAAAAACATGAAAAGAGTTTTAGGAGTAAAATGGTAAGTGCTGCAAGGGTCAAACAAATACTAAGAAGTACAGCCACTGGATTTGGCAGTCAAAAGGTAACCTTTAAGAAAACCATTTCAGCGTACATTTGAGGATTTAAATGAAACTGTGGCAAAATGAGGACGTGAAGGCAGACAGAAATGTCCAAGAATTTAGGAAGAAAGATGGAACAAGAGCATTAACAAAAGCCAGACTCAAGATATTTTTAAAGACGACAGATTTGAGATGTTTCACGTAAAAATCTAGCTTAGTTGAAAAATAAAATTTCAAGAAAAAACTTTGGTTTGGCGGGGCAGGGTGATCAAACTATGTGTCCAAGTAACACTGTATTACAAAACACTGTATTACACAAAGATTTGTGACTATATTATTGTTTGGTTGTGTGTGTGTGTGTGTGTGTTTTGAGACGATGTCTCACCCTGTCACCCAGGCTGGAGTGCAATGGCGAGATCTCAGCTCACTACAACCTCCACCACCTGGGTTCAAGCGATTCTCCTGCCTCAGCCTCCCAAGTAGCTGGGATTATAGGCATGCACCACCACGCCCAGTTAATTTTTATATTTTTAGCACAGACAGCGTTTTGGCATGTTGGCCAGGCTGTGTGACTGTAATATTAACTTGCCTTGAGTCTGGACACTTAGTAATCTTAAGTAGCACAATAGCAGTGAACTTTATAGTGAAGTGTTTTACAGGAAAGATTTTATAGGAAAGACCTTTACAGGAAAGATTTAACATTCTAGCAACACAGGTGCATAAATTCTAAATTTCAAAATGTACAGAATGATCCGGAGTTCTCATATGTTCATAGTGCAGTTCTTGGTAGGCAGATAACAGTAATTAAACATGCAAGTTAAAATTTTTAATTTCTAGTTAACATAAATTCTGTTCCCCCAGCTCATATTTTGTTTTCAGCTCATTCATACTCCCTATTTGGGTATGAAGTCCAAGAAGAGCTAGAAGGGAAGATAACCTGAAATGCAGGATGTTTTCCCCGTCTTTCCCTGCTCTCTCAGCAGAGATTTGACTGCTCTACAACGCCTATAGAGCTACAAGAGAAAGACACGTTTGTTTTTAGGCTCTGTGTGCTTGATGTTCTAAATAGCTATCATTTCCATCTGTAGTATGTACTGGGTTACAGAACGGAAAAGAAAAGCCAGGACAGAAGATAAAAGGACTTAGAAGCTCTCCTGAGTTGTCCTCTTAATTATCATATCTGAAGTGTATAGTCAGTGCCAAACATCAAACATGACTCAATGCAGTCTAAAACCAGTAAAATTTTGTTTATATATAAATGTAGTTACATCAAGCAGGAGAAAGAGTAAGATCTATTCTACCACACCGAAGACCTAAAACATGTCATGTTTTAGCAGCCTGAAAGTATTTCTTCCCTTCCTAGTAAAGAAATCATTATGTCTAGTGGGACAGGAGAGTTATTTATCATATAATCCCAAGTACTCATACCTAGTTTAGTGACCTTGTTTAAGATAATCCTCAATATTTGTCTCTGTCGGCATAAGTCAACTTTTGATAACTAGCTTTAAGAGTAAAAAATAATTTTCATATTGGAATCGCTTCAAGATTTTAAGGTTTCAATTGAAGACAGAAAAGAACTTAAAGTTGACAAGATGAAAATGTCAATTTTAAGAAATTACAAAAGTAAAAAGATTATGGTTACCAATTTTAGTATTTATTGAAAGATGGAAGACAAGGAAAATACCTCTCAAACTCCAAAAACAAATTTTGCACCTATACTAAATGTAAAATGAATTTTAAGATACCTGCTTTACATTACAATGAACCTGTCCAAAAAAAAAAAAAAAAAAGCTGAATGCAAATTTATCCAAATGGTGCTAATTTATTATTTACAAAAATGCTCTTATCTGCCATAAGTATTTGAGAAAAAACTGTTTTACACTCAGGATCACTAATAAAATATCTTAATGACAACTCAAAAAATAAAATTTTCCCTACCCTCAATGACCTCCCCTCCAGAAAAGTTACAGAATGGATTAAAAATGAATACATGTGGAAACAAACATAATTATTTCCCACAAACTTAACATACACAGGAACAGGCACATGCACACACACATATACAGTGTTGTGCAAGATCAACTTAATCTTTATTTAAAGTCAACAGCCTTGGTAACAAGGAAGATAACGAATATGGCTTCAATAAAGTTTGCAAGTAAATACTACAAATATTAATTCTTTTGCTAGCTAACCAGCTAACCTGAGTATGGAATATGTATTACTTAGCTAGCTAAAAGGGTATAAACAAAACTGAGGGCTGGGGAGGGGGAAGCACTATAGCAGATTCCACTGAGGTACCTTAGTTTTTATGTAAAGGTCTGTATATCCATTTAATAATTTATATAACAATTCTTTATTCTATATAGTATATGACCATATAGAAACTATGTCTTACTTTATTGTTCTGGTCCAAGAAACTGCAAATAAAAACAAAAAACTTGTATTCAGATAAAGAACTGGAATATACTAACTAGAAAATCATTACTACAATGCAATATTAAAATAGAAAATTTTTGCATGTAACAAATTCTCAGATTGTATCTGAAGATTTGAAAATTATAACCTGTGAGGCAAGGAACGTAAGCATTATTGAAGGCAATAACAAGGCTGTACCTGGAAATCTTGAGCCCACTCATCTATACTTTACCTTCAGAGATACATGCATTTTTAAAACAAATTTTCAAATTATAGGTAAGTCTGACTATAGGTTATATAGGAAAATATACTTAAAAGCAACTACTACGCTTGTTTTTAGATATGCCTTCCTTTAAGTTAAAAAGTTTAAGGCTCATATTTTGGAGGGATACCCTAAAGACATTTTCTCACAGTATGACCTCAATGCATCTACGTATATGCTACTGGAAAGCTGGAAGTAAAACATATCTTTTGTTAAATATATCATTCCTCAACTTTCAAAAGAAAGAAACAAAAAGAAAAAACATTTTAACCACATCCCTTCTTATTTCTCAATACTGGTTTGTTAAGAACTTTAGTCACTCAAAAAGGTAGGTGCAAATCCATAAATTTAGCTTAAAACAGAAGATTAAATAGGTTGGGAGTATGGTAAGACAATTACATGTAAAACAAAACCCTTATCTTGATTTATACCTTCCCTAGCCCATGAAAACTTCCTATGTTGCAAACACTGATTTCCTACAAACCATGAAGATTTCCTATGATATTTGTGTATCCTTTTATTAAAGTAGAAGCCAGAACTGACATCATTGCTGCAATTAACTTTTATTTGTTCTGGTGAAATCATGCTTCTTCCTAAATGGCTTATCGCTAACCAGAAATATGAGCAGTTTGGATGGGTACATTAGGCCAGAAATGGAAATAGCCACAGTAGCCCAAATGGCAGCACAAAGAACTCCAACTGAAAGTCATCAACCAAAGTATGTGCCAGAATAATACCAAAAACAAACAAAATAAAATAGATTTGCGCTGAGCAGAGTTTCTTAACAGCAACACATACATCAAAGACCTCTATCTGACTTAATTACAATAGTAGAAGCAGTGTCAAATAGTGAGTCTGTCCCTAAGGAGGTTTGTTTTACTCATCTTTAGTTAGGCACTGGCAATTTGTCTCCTACCTTAATTAAATTTCTAGAGCTTCTTTTGAAAAGGAAGTACTCCAAGTTGTTTGCCTTTGCTAAGGTAGGAAGGGGATCCTGAGATGAAGTACCACAAAGTATTTTGTTAATTATATCTGTTTATGGCAGTTGAGTCATTGTCATTGCCATTTTACAATTTTGTATTTGCCATATTTTTCTCCCACTCTGCCAGAAAAATATAAAAGGATTTTAATTGCCCACAAGCTTTCTGCAACTAAAGATTTTATACTCACCTATTAATTAGTAAAGGTACATATTAGTAAGAAAATTCTCTAAACTTATCATTCCATACACAACAAAGAAAATATGGTAGGCTATGTAAACTGGCCACATAACTTCATAATAAGAAGGCTTTGCTATCATTAACATACCTTGTTTCTCCCAACTTTCTAAAACTGTTTCTATTACACCTAAACTGCTTTCAATAGTAGTTTAATATAAAAATTTTTTCAATGATTTCCAGGGAGTAGGGCTAAGAAATTTCACATATTCATCTTATTCATCAATTTATGAAAATTATGCAAAATATGATATACATATATACACTCACACACAGAAAGATGCACATTTTCTTGAGTCCTGGTTGTTAAAAAGGCCTGCATAGGCTGGGCACTATGGCTCACGCCTGTAATCCCAGCACTTTGGGAGGCCAAGGCGAGTGGATCACAAGGTCAAGAGATAGAGAACATCCTGGCCAACATGGTGAAACCCCGTCTCTACTAAAAATACAAATACTAGCTGGGCATAGTGGCGTGCACCTTGTAGTCCAAGCTACTCGGGAGGCTGAGGCAGGAGAGTCGCTTGAACCCGGGAGGCGGAGGTTGCAGTAAGCTGAGATCGCACCACTGCACTCAAGCCTGGTGACAGAGCGAGACTCTGTCTCGGGAGGGAGAAAAAAAAAAAACAAACAAAAAAAAACCCTGCACTGTGTAGAGAATTTAAATATTTACTAGATTTGAATTACGTATATTTGCACTCCATTACCATGCTAAATTGATATACCAGCAGAGAGAATCATAATATATCAAACAAATGACTTAAATGAATTGTCAGTTTGTCTTTGCAGACTCAACAGAAAACATATTTATTAATATGAACCTTTATTAAGTGGCTCACATTTCAGTATAAATCACACTAAAAAGATATTTTAAAAGGTATTTACACTACAGTGCTGACACATTTAAAATGGGGGGAAAAAAAGGATATAAATAAGCTCTATGGAAAAGCCTTAAATTGAAAAAGAATTCTGGCTCATATTACAAAATATATATATATATTTATATATATATATATATATATATGTTAATGTCAGCTCTATTCTAAAACCTACAATTACAACGTAAATGATTTTTTTTAAAAGACTCCTTTATGTTTAAACCTGCAATGTTTACAGTGCATCTGGCCCTAAGTGCTTGATACTTCACAGTTATGGACAGGCACTGAGGAATGTTACAAAGCTACATAAACTACATTTTGTAACAGACACAGGAGCAAGTCCTTGGCTTGCTTTCAGAATTCATGAATCTTTATTACATAATTAAATTTTTTTTAAAGGATTTTAGATGGTATATGCAAATTTAGCATAAAATGTCATTGTCTTTTTTATCTTGATTTGAATGTGCTGAACTGTGTGGCCTTGTATCAACTAGACTTAGATTTGCAGAGCATAAATCTTCCTTTAAATCTTTGTTGCTATTTTCAAATTTAGAATCCATGTCAATCTTAAATTCTGTAAATTGAACATGATCCAATTTTGCTTTAACATTCTTGCCATCCATATTATTCACTGCTCTAGTCTTTTCAGGAATATTAACAATCACAGGTTCTTCCTTGATTCTTACAGATGCAATAGGTTCATGTTTAATCTGCTGTAATTCATGTTTAGAATGAAGTTTATCTGAAAAAACAGAATCCAAGGAGGCTTTGCTCACAGCACAAATAATGTTGTCAGTGTGAGGTCCAAGAACAGATGATGTGGAATCTGATGATGTGGCTGTTTCATGAGTAGCTATATTCTGAGAAGTGTCCTCCTCTGAGTGATATAATTTGAGCCGAATGTGCCATGCTAAACTGCATACAGCTGAAACTGTCTTGAACTGATGAACAACATTCCTTGGAATAAAGTAAATGTCATTATCATATAGCTGAATCCTGGCATAGCGAATGCCTTCCCTCCTCAGTTGATTCAGTTTTGCATCATCAACCCATTGGACACACTAAAAAATAATAAAACAAGAAATATAAATGAGTCTCTTTATAATAAAAACTAAACCAAAGACAATTAAGTATATTAAAAACACCTGAGACAGTGGAGGTTCATGCAAATCCAACTGCATTCGTTGAACCACTTCTAAGAAATCTTCAGCATGAAAACAAATTACATCTTTGGTTATACGGGGTTGATCAGGCCTAAAAAAGAAAATGAGATAATAAGAATCTTCCATAAACGTTTCACTCTCTTGAATCCTTATTGAAGTCAAAGCAAAAACAGTTTATGGTCAATACAATAGTACTGTCTTTCAAACTGTAATTGGAAAACCATTTCACATATTTAAAGAAAGGGTCAACACCATGACTTTCAACCTAAACACAGATTAAAAACTGACTTCATTTTTGCATAGATATTTGTCACAAGAGTTTGGAAAATTATAATGATCTGGATTAGTAAATTATGCAAACCAAGAAAATTAAGTGTTCTATCTGAAGAATAAGATCAATGCTTCATAAATTGAAATGCTAAAGCTGAAAATACTATATAAAAATTAGAAGTAAATATGAGGAAAAGGGAATGTTTTCTTTCCACAGAAGATACATAAAACTATACTGATGCATAAAACTCTTATATAACTCTTTATAAATTAAGAGACTTCATTAGAAAAGTACTAATACAATAAACTGTTGGCATTTGCTGAGATTACTCATGTTTTTAAATGTAATTCTAAAAAATTCTCAAATTATTCAATTAGGAATTACATTTTTACAGAGGTGCTCAAAAGTGGATATTAGAATAAAATTCTCAACAACATAAACAAAGAAACTCACTTGAAGGCAAATCATAACTAAATTTCTAAAAATCAGTGATAAAAGAGCAAATCTGAGAATCATGCATTACATTATAATACAGGGAAAGAAGGATAAGAATGATCATAGACTTATCAAAGACAATGCAAGCCTCAAGAGAATGGACTATTTTTAAAGTACTGGAAGAAAAAGTCAATCTAGAATTCTATACCCACCAAAAAATCCTCCAAAAATGTGAAATAAAAACATGTTCAAATAAACAAAAACTGATAGAATCTGTCACCAGAAACCTAGCATAACAAAGACTGCTAAAGGAATTTCTTCAGGCTGAAGGAAAATAATCCTTAAATGAAAATGCAGATCTATGAAAAGGAATGTACAGCACACCTAATGATAAATATGAAAGAGATTTTATTCTCACTTAAAGAATCTCTTTAGAAATAATTCTTTAAAGCAAAAGTAACAACATACAGTGTAGGGCTTATAGCATATGTAAAGTAAAATACATGACAATTAGCCCTAAGGCCAGAAATGGTAGGAGGGGGAATGGAAGCATACTACTGAAAAGTTCCTACACATTACATAAACAAGTCTAATATTAGCTGAAAGTAGATTGTAGTAAGTTGAAAACAAGAAATGAAATAAAGCCCACAGAGCTATATGTTCCTTAGCAAATTATGGAGGTGAAATCGAATGCTTAAAAATGACAAGAAAAGAGGAAAAAAAGAATAAAGAAGGGGCCGGGCGCGGTGGCTCACGCCTGTAATCCCAGCACATTGGGAGGCAGAGGCGGGTGGATCACGAGGTCAAGAGATTGAGACCATCCTGGTCAACATGGTGAAACCCCATCTCTACTAAAAATACAAAAAATTAGCTGAGCATGGTGGCGCGTGCCTGTAATCCCAGCTACTCAGGAGGCTGAGGCAGGAGAATTGCCTGAACCCAGGAGGCGGAGGTTGCGGTGAGCCGAGATCGCACCATTGCACTCCAGCCTGGGTAACAAGACCGAAACTCCGTCTCAAAAAAAAAAAAAAAAAAGAATAAAGAAGGAAATTGGAAAAAGCAGGATGGAAATTAAAAACCAAATTTACTAATATTTACTATTATTAAATATAAATCACCTAAATACTCCAATTAAAAGACAGATTAAAGACCCAACTATATGATATCTATCTACCTGGAACAACAATATAGACATACAGGTAAGTTAAAAGAAGAACAATGGGAAAAGATACAGCATGTAAATACAATCATAAGAAGACTGAATTGGCTATATTAACAAAGTTAATTTCAAGACAAGGAATATTACCAAGGATAAGAAGGACATTTTATGATGAAAAATGGGGTCAATTCATCAAGAAGAAATAACAATTCTACATGTGTAGTTGCCTAAGAACACAACTTCAAAATATATGGAACCTTCAAAACACTATGCTAAGTGAAGGAAGCTAATTACAAAAGATCACATGTTATATGATTCCATTTACATTAGATGTTAACAGACATAGATATACAGACAGAAGTATATTAGTGTGGGGTTGGGAGGATGAAGAATGGAGGATTGGGGAGGTGATAACTAAAGGATGTAGGTTCTTTTTGAGGTGATGAAAATGTGCTCTGTAAGTTTAGTGGTAGTTGCCATAACTCTGTGAATATATTAATAACTATTCATTTGTAAACTTTAAATGGGTGAATTATATGATATGTGACTATGGCTTAATAAAGCTGTCGCAAAAGAAAAAATAAAGCAAAAAATAGAAAAACTGACAGGAAAATTAGACAAATCCAATGTCAAAGTTACGAATTAACAAGTAGACAAAAATAAGTGAGACTATAAAAAGACATGAACCACACTCATTATCAACAGAGTTGACTTAATTGCTCTTAATTTATAGAGCACCCTATCCCAAACAACAGCAGAGTACCTTTTTTTTTTTTGAGACAGAGTCTCACTCAGTCACCCAGGCTGGAGTACAGTGGTGCAATCTCAGCATACTGCAACCTCCACCTCCCCAAGTTCAAGTGATTCTCATGCCTCAGCCTCCCGAGGAGCTGGAATTATAGGCATGTGACATCATGCCCAGCTAATTTTTGTGTTTTTAGTAGAGATGGGTTTTACCATGTTGCCCAGACTGGTCTGGAACTGCTGACCTCAGGTGATCCACTCACCTTGGCCTCCCAAAGTGCTGGGATTACAGAGGTGAGTGACCACACCTAGCCAAAATACACATTTTTAAAAGTAGACATAGAAAAATTCATCAAGATGGTCCATAAAACAAACCCCAAGAAATTCAGAAGGACTAAAATCATAAGAATACATTCTCTGACCATAGGAAATTAAATTAGAAATGAAAAACAACAAAAATCTGGAAAAAAAAATCCTCAAATATTGGAAACCAAAGAACACTTCTCGATAACCCATGGGTTAAAAAAGAAATCAAACAGGAATTAGAGATAACCTGAACTGAAATGAAAATGCAATAGCAAAATTTGTGAAAGGCAGCATGGTCTTGGCTCACTGCAACCTCTACCTCCCAGGTTCAAGCGATTCTTGTGCCTCAGCCTCCCAAATAGCTGGGGTTATAGGCGAGTGCCAGCATGTCCAGCTAATTTTAGTAGAGGAGAGGCTCTACCATGTTGGCCAAGCTGATCTTGAACTCCTGACCTCAAGTGATCTGCCCACCTCGGCCTTCAAAAGTGCTGGGATTACTGGCGTGAGCCACTGTGCCCAGCCTGTTTTTACTTTTTTTTTCTTACATTCAACTGCTCTAATAAGGCCAGGTGCAGTGTTTCCTGCCTGTAATTCCAGCAATCTGAGATCCCAGCCTGGGCAATGTCACAAGACCCTGTCTCTACAAAAAATTTAAAAATAGGCCAACTCTAGACATACTGCCTATGAGTCCTGCTCTGCAAGGAAGAGTAATGAAATTTTTTTTTTTTTTTTTTTTTTTTTTTTGAGACGGAGTTTCGCTCTTGTTACCCAGGCTGGAGTGCAATGGCGCGATCTCGGCTCACCGCAACCTCCGCCTCCTGGGTTCAGGCAATTCTCCTGCCTCAGCCTCCTGAGTAGCTGGGATTATAGGCACGCACCACCATGCCCAGCTAATTTTTTGTATTTTTAGTAGAGACGGGGTTTCACCATGTTGACCAGGTTGGTCTCGATCTCTCGACCTCGTGATCCACCCGCCTCGGCCTCCCAAAGTGCTGGGATTACAGGCTTGAGCCACCGCGCCCGGCGAAAATTTTTTAAAAATGTAAAAGTAAACAAATATTCACTGTATGTGGTGGCATGTGTCTGTAGTCCTAGCTACTCAGGAGGCTGAGGCAGGAGGCTTGCTTGAGCCTGGGTGGTCATGGCTGCTATAAACCACGACAGTACCACTGCACTCTCGCCTGTGCAACAGAGTAAGGCCTTCCATCTTATTTAAAAAAAAAAAAAAATTTAAATGGCTCTGATAAGCAAAATAGCATATACTAACTCATGTTTCATACCCAAACAATACCTGATTTTAGAAAACAAAAGACTAAGCAAGCAAAATTATCTTTTTTTTTTTTTTGGTTGGGGGCCGGAGTTTTGCTCTTGTTGCCCAGGCTGGAGTGCAATGGCGTGATCTTGGCTCACTGGAACCCCTGCCTTCTGGGTTCAAGCAATTTCTCCTGCCTCAAGACCTTCCCTATAGCTGGGATTACAGATGCCGACCACCATCGCAAGCTAATTTTTGTATTTTTAGTAGAGACAAGGTTTCACCATGTTGTCCATGCTGGTCTTGAACTCCTGATCTCAGCTGATCCACCGGCCTCGGCCTCCCAAAGTGCTGGGATTACAGGCATGAGCCATCATGCCTGGCTGCAAAATTACAGTAACTTTGCTTTGTATTTTTATCAGTTTAATACATGGAAAGTTACTTAATGTATGATGACACCTCAAGTATATTCAACAGAATAATCCATTTTTTAATCTGTCAAAATATTCATAGTGAAACTTGTAAACAAAACAAAATACAGAAAAGCAAATACATAATAAAGAGAAACCACACCTTAGAAAGGGAACAGTAAAGCAGGAGGAAGAGAAAACAAGAGTATGGAATCAGATTGAAATCAGTCTCAGCTCTACCACTTACTAACTATATGACTGTAAAAAAAAATTATTTGACAGCTCTCAGCCTCAGTTTCATTATATGATAAATATGGGGCAAAAAGTAGTTGAGATAAATTAAATTTAACATCTGTAAAAAGGCATACAGTAAGCAGCAGGTAAACCTTAGTTTTTCTTTTGCCTCACTTTTTTTCACATCTAGTCACTTAGCACATGAAATTAATTATTCCAGTTAACCCAAATGACTAAACCTAGATTCTAGGATTTTAAAATCTTTAGAACAATTATACAATTAAGATATCCAAATACAGGTAAAAAAATTGAAGTTTTTTTTCCCATAGTAAGGAGGAATTACTAAGACTTTCCAAGAAAAATTGTAGAAGCCAAGAAATGCTTTCATTAAAACAGCAGTAGTTATATACCACTCTCCACAGTGCACAGCCTTCAGCACTCCAACAGCAGCTGTAGTCTGTCGTTCAAAACCTTGTCCTATGTGATCTGCATGAGCTCTTGTCCTGTCTTCGAAGAGCATCTCACGGGGCTCACTTGTTCGAGGTAGGTACTGAAGATTTTTTATTTCATTGGTAGTTCTGTTTTTAAAAAAAAAAAAAAAAAAAAAAAAAAAAAAATATATATATATATATATATATATATATAGTGACAATTGCCATCACTCAATAATTATATTAATTCAGACAAAAAGGTATGAAATCTGCTCTCAAGTCAGATTCTACAAGAACGAACAAAAACACACATACGATACCCTCATTTTTCTAATATACCTTCACAAAAGTGACAACTGTAAGGAAATACATGGATAAAAAATTAAATTACAAATGGTGGTATTTGCCCATGTTTCCCTATACCCAGAATCTTTACCTGGGGTTGGGTAACATGCCCTCACTCAGATCAACTGGGTAACACAAGATTTTATATATATATAAATCTGAAATGGGTAACTTTTAAAAATGCATTAATCCAATATTTATAGGGCACATACTATGTGGTAGGTACTATCTAGGAACTGGCGCTAGTGAATACAACAGATGAGGACCCTACCTTTGCGGGAGTTTATAGTCTAGTCTAGTGAAAGGAGGAGCAAAAAAAATAGATTTAGCAAGAAAACACCCAGCGGTAAGTAATTCCACAAAACATACATGGTTTATTGGACGTAGAAAGGAAATCCTTAGCTCTGTCTTGAAGACAGCCATTTCCCACTGGCCCTCTCCTTCACCATTTTCCTTCTAGAATGAGTATGTATGCAGAATTTTCTGCCTACCTAGCCTTACTTATTGCAGAAACCTCTCCAATTTTGGTGTAAGCAAGGAAACAGGTAAGAAGAGACTCTCTGGCTGAGAATCATCATTTTATTTATCTTCCTGTATGGTTTTTGTTTCTTCCAGACACAACTCTGGATTACCCCCAGAATTGTCTCCTCTCATCCTTGTCTATCTTCACAGGGATCATTCTTCCTTACTGGCTCTCTACTCTCCCACCCTTAATCTCTTTTATTTAACTGCTCTGTGTGCAGCCCTGCATTACAGTCTTATTACATATAAACATATAATTTTTTTGACCCTTTGTGATTAATGTTCTACATGTGTCAGAATGCTAGATGATGTTGCTTCTTGTGTAAACCTAACAGGTTCTCAAACCCACAAATTTAGTTGCATAAATACTACATTCTAATGAATTCACACATATACAGCACTTGGCACAGTACCTGACACACTGTTTTTGTCAGACTATTATCACCATCGCATAAACCCTGGGTTGTATACCCTAAAGTGAATGGAAGTTCCTCAAGGTGGTGGTGAACCCGCTTAAATTACATCTAAAAGTGTGTGTTTATCTGTATTGTTCTGAGGAAAGACTTTCAGATTCTCAAAATGATCCATAAATTCTTAAAAAAAAAAAATTAAGAATCACTGAGGAACACGATGATTTTTACCATTTTCTACTAATCTATAAATTAAACTGCAAAATTTTATTCATCCAATAAATATTAAGTACCAGACACTGTGTTTAGGTGCTACAGACACAGGTGGATCACGAGGTCAAGAGATCGAGACCATCCTAGTCAACATGGTGAAACCCCGTCTCTACTAAAAATACAAAAAATTAGCTGGTCATGGTGGCGTGTGCCTGTAATCCCAGCTACTCAGGAGGCTGAGGCAGGAGAATTGCCTGAACCCAGGAGGTGGAGGTTGCGGTGAGCCGAGATCGCGCCATTGCACTCCAGCCTGGGCAACAAGAGCGAAACTCCGTCTCAAAAAAAAAAAAAAAAAAAAAAAAAAAAAACCCAACAGAGTCCCTGACATCATGCAACCCAGAGTTTACTCAATTAATTTTCCCCCTCTTTTCTTTTTAGCTTTATAATTACTGTACCTAGTAAAATCACCTTTAGGTATCTAAAGAAAAAGCTATAATCTCTCCTAACACCATCTCCATCCATTCCAATCAATGTTAACCTAATGTACATTTTCTCCACACTTTTCTCTGTGCTCACATAAATACACAAATACACAATCACACATAGGAGGGTTTTGTTATTTATTTCTTTGGATAAAAACAAAATCATACTAGATACATCACTCTACATTTGGCTGTTTTGAAGTGTCATGAATATCCATCCAGAGCAATACATTTTTTAAAACTCTATTTTAACTATTTCACCATATTCCTTTTTTGTTAGCGACAGGGTCTGGTTCTGTCACGCAGGCTGGAGTGTGCAGTAATGTACTCATAGCTCACCGCAGTCTCAAACTCCTGGGCTCAACCAGTCCTAGACTCAGCCTTCCGAGTAGTTAGGGATACAGGCATATACCACCACATTAGCTAAATATTCTTCTTTTTTATTTTGTAGAGGGAGAGTCTCACTCCGTTGCTCAGGCTGGCCCTGAACTCATGGGATTCAAGTTATCCTCCCACCTCGGCCTCCCAAAATGCTAGGACTACAGGCATGAGCTGCTGCACCTGGCTTTTTCACTGTACTCTTTTTTTCTTAGACAGAGTTGCTCTGTCAGCCAGGCTGGAGTACAGTGGCGCAGTCTCAGCAAACTGCAACCTCTGTCTCCTGGGCTCAAGCAATTCTCAGCCTCCTGAGAAACTGAGATTACAGGCATGTGGCACCACACCCGGCTAATTTTTTATTTTTAGTAGAGATGGGGTTTCACCATGTTGGCCAGACTGGTCTCGAACTCCTGACCTCAGGTAATCCACCCACCTCGGCCTACCAAAGTGCTGGGATTACAGGCATGAGCCACTCAGCCTCACTATACTCTTTGATAAGAATGTATGAAATCTATTCAACCATTCCCCTGTTGAGAGCCATTCAGACCATTTTAAAATGTTTTTCTTACCACAAATTTATTTACCTTTAGAGTTTTTATTTCTTGGGATGAAAGCTGGAGTGCTAGATCAAAGTGTTACATGTTAAATTTTATGAGCTACTGCCAGATTACTTTCACGAAATTACAGCAGCTCACCCTCCAGTCAACAATATATTAAAAACTTTCTTCACATACCTACCAGCCTGTATTATTGCTATGTTACTAATTTTTGCCAATACAATAGATAAAAATATCTCACGGTTCTTTAAAAAAAAAAAACTTAACTACCTGAGGTCTGTTTTTCTACTGGGTCGTTTACACTTGAGAATGTTCCTTGTACATTAACTTTGGTCTGTCATGAGTTAAAAATGTTTTAGTCCAGTTTGTCACAGTTTTGAACTTCACTGCTGATGTCGCTTCCCTCCCAAATACTGTTGCCACTGCACTGTTTGGTCTGGCTTAAGAAAGTCTCTTCCAGGCTTAAAAAATTTTATTCTAATATTTTAAACTGTTTTATCTGTGATGCTTAATTCTCTAATTTACTTTTGGTATTAGGTAGGGGCTCTGCCTTTGTTTTATTTCAGATGGATTGCCAATTATGCCAGCATTCCTCATTAAATATATCTTCCTCTTCCCACCTATCTCATAATTAAAAGTTCCCAATATATTCAGATCTATTTCCGGACTCTTATTCTAATGATCTATTTAAACTTTGTAGTGATTTTTAATATCCTGTATCATAAGCTCCCTCTCACTTATCTTCTCTTTCACTGAAAAGTTTACTTCCTTAGGAATTTTAAAATCATTTTATCCAAGACTGGAAGTGTTAGTTCAACTGAAATGCAAAAAGTTTTAAAGAACTATCATTTTTACCCAATCCAGAACACAGTAGGGTTTTCCATTTGTTCTGATCTTATTTTATATTCTCCATAAAATATTTTAGTCTTCTTAGTACAGGTTCTGATTATTATTAAATTCATTCTAAAATAGTTTATATCTTACAAATGACATTTTTTCCATTCATCATTACAGTTTATTGTCATTGCCTACATTTCTCATGCCTTATTTACATTTTAGATTTTATAACAAATTATATTAGCATATATAGCTATTTTCAAATTTATATTCCAGTTATGCCGTAAACTTTGCCTTCTTCCTTCCTCCAATTTTCAACTAACGTACAAACCCCAACATACAAACACTCATCTCCTCCAATAAAAATTTGTATACAACATACCTTTTCCTTTTGAAAGGTGACTTTGGCATATCAGCCACAGGGATCATCTGTTCTCCTGGACGAACCCACATGATGGGACCATCATCACTATCTTTTCGACTCTGTAACTTTAAACTAGATAGCGTCCCCCATGGCAGTGTACACTGGAGACAAATAATTATGTAGAAAGCAATTATTTTCAAAATGTATCTTCAAGTATATATGAATAATATTGTTTCCCTGACATGCTTTCATACACAGATTTATACTTAACAACTTGAAATATGTAATATTGAATATATCCCTATATATTGATATGCTTTGCTTCAAAAACCTGTTTCAAACACAGCAAGAAAATAATTATGCTTGGATGGTTCTGTCCCTCTACCCTGCTAGAGGTATGATTCACTATATTCATCATTTGTTATTCTTCCATCTACCAAATGGATCATATGATGTTAACAGATGAAATAAGCAAGTGCTCTCATAATAATCTATAAAAATGAACAATTAAATTTGAATTTAAAAACTGGATACCTCTTTAATGATCATTAAAAACAAAATAAAAATGAAAACCAAAACAAAATCAAAACATATTTTGTTTAGTAGTTTCTTGAAGAGGTTATTGGCTTAAACCAGAAATTAAATATTTTAAAATGAAAGAAGAAGGCTGGGTGAGGTGGCTTGCGCCTGTAATCCCAGCATTTTGGGAGGCCGAGTCAGGCAGATCATGAGATCAAGAGATTGAGACCATCCTGGCCAACAAGGTGAAACCCTGTCTCGACTAAAAATACAAAAATTAGCAGGGTGTGGTGGCATGTGACTATAGTCCCAGCTACTTGGTGGGCTAAGGCAGGAGAATTGCTTAAACCCAGGAGGCGGAGGTTGCAGTAAGCCAAGATTGTGCCACTGCACTCCAGCCTGGCGATACAGTGAAACTCTGTTTCAAAAACAAACAAACAAAAAGAAAAAGAGACAGACAGAAGGGAAGGGGGAAAGAGAAAAGAGAAGAAGGCGGCAGGGGACAGTGGCTCACGCCTATAATCCCAGCACTTTTGGAGGCTGACGCAGGCAGATCACCTGAGCTCAGGAGTTTTGAGACCAGCTTGGGCAACATGGAGAAGCCCCGTCTCTACTAAAAATACAAAAAATTAGCCAGGCATGGTAGTGCGTGTCTGTAATCCCAGCTGCTCAAGAGGCTGAGGCACGAGAATCACTTGAACCTGGGAGGCAGAGGGTGCAGTAAGCTGAGATCACGCCACTGCACTGCAGCCTGTATGACAGAGCGAGACCCCATCCCAAACCAAAAAAAAAAAAAGAGAGAAGGAGGAAACTGATGGCCACTGTTCATGGAATGTTGAGAACAAAATTTAAAAAAAATATTCAACACACACCGTCTTTTCAAAAAGGATTGTCAAATTTCTTTAGAAACAATGCATTTAGGTTGGGTGCAGGTAGCTCACGTCTGTAATCCCAGCACTTTGGGAGACTGAAGCAGGACTGCTTGAGCCCAGTACTTCAAAACTAGCCTGTACAACATAACAGGACTCCGTTACTTTAAAAAAAAAAAAAAAAAAAAAAGGAAAGAAAGACAAAAGAACAAAGAAAAAGAAATAATGGATTTAAGTTCATGTGCTTTGAAAATTAAATTTGAAGCAACCATTTAAATAATACTGATACTTTTTAAATATAATTCAGTAATAAATGCAACCTAATTCCATGACGTGACTACCTGAGAGAAGTATAAAGGGAACAAAAAGTTTAAAAAGGAAAAGGGAGTGGAACAGGGTTAAAGACAAAGGGAAGAGAAAAGATATATGCACATAGAGTAAAAACACCAAGCAAGCAGAAGTGATAAAAGAAGAGATGTCCAACAGATTACGTGGTAAATATTAGAAATCTTGTCACATTCTGTTGCTCACCCAGACCCTGAATTTCAGTGTAGTTTTACACTGACCTTTGAGTTACTGATTAAATAATTAACCTAACTACACAGTTCAGAGATCCCTCTCTCTGTGGGATAGCCACAGCAGCTCACAATAAGAAATATTTTCTGGCCTGGCGTGGTGGCTCACGCCTATAATCCCAGCACTTTGGGAGGCGGGTGGATCACGAGGTCAAGAGATAGAGACCATCCTGGTCAACATGGTGAAACCCTGTCTCTACTAAAAATACAAAAATTAGCTGGGCGTGGTGGTGAGTGCCTGTAATCCCAGCTACTCGGGAGGCTGAGGCAGGAGAATTGCTTGAACCCAGGAGGCGGAGGTTGCGGTGAGCCGAGATCGTGCCATTGCACTCCAGCCTGGGTAACAAGAGTGAAACTCCGTCTCAAAAAAAAAAAAAAAAAATTTTCTGAAAATGAATAAGCTGTTTTTTTTTTTAAAAAAAAAAAAAAAAAGAAAGGAATCTTGCTGCAAATTTAAAGGGGATTGTGGGTGGGTGGGCATGGTGGCTCACACCTGTAATCCCAGCACTTTGGGAGGCCAACACAGGAAGATCACTTGAGCCTAAGAGTTCAAGCCCAGCCTGAGCAACACAGTGAAACCCTATTTCCACACACACCCACCCACACACACAAAAAAATACAAAAGTTAGCTGGGCATGATGGCATGTGCCTGTAGTCCCAGGTACTTAGAAGGCTGAGATGGGAGGACCATCTGAGCCCAGGGAGGTCACAGGTCCACAGTGCACCACTACACTCCAGCCTGGGTAATGACTGAAACTGTCTGAAAAAAAATAAAATAAAGGGGTCTTTGCCTACATTGCCTAACCATTTTATGGATGATGAAACTGATGCCCAGACAGCTTAAATGGCTTGTCCAACCCAGGTAGGTATAGCCAAGGCTAAAATATGGATGCCTAATTTCACAGGCCAGTTTTCCACAATGCTAAACTGCCATTCCATTGTCTTAAACATTTTTAGTAGAATCCTTTCTGTACTTCCTAAGAGCTGATTAACACATGGAAACTAATTTCCTAAAGTGTAACAGGTGTTATTTCAATTTCATGGTCTACCACTTAGCTTTGCCATTACAATTAGGACCTGAGATACCACATGTACACACCACAAGAATTACTTCGGTTTCCTATCTCTTGCCCTCCTTCCCTCCAGTTCAAATAAAACCAAAATGTTTCTATTTCTGAAACAGCCATTCATTTATATTGCATGTAGCATGAAAGAAACACTCCCAAGTCAGATTACTCATATTGGTTTTTCTTGCCTTTTTTAAAAACAAAAACAAAACAACTCTAATCCCATGACAGATTATCTCTTACTTTTAAAAATGGTGACTCTTCCAACATGTCAAGGAACTCAGGGAAGTAATCTCCTACTTCTTCATCAACTGCTCCCACCAAGCTTATTTGTCGCATTGGGCCAGCTCTGTAAGTACCATGAGAATACGTTCTTTTTACCTGAAGAATATGGATTTAATTAAAAGTTACACATAAAATAATGTTTGCTATCATTCATTGTGTAACAGTAAATTATTATTATCTCAGAATATTGTATCATAATATGAGGAAAGAAAAAAAAAACTTCACTAACAGTAACAGATAAGTCATTTTAAAAACAGAACTTGCACTAAATCAAGCTATTTTACCTTCTCTATTCCTACATGCTGCTTATGAAAACACAGTTAAGACAAATAAACATTAATTCTAGACAACATCTCCTTAGAAGAGAGGAACTCATTATCTGAATATTCAAAAGATGCTGTACCTGCATTTTTCTAAAGTGAAATGAAGTTCGTATCTTTTAATCAAAATTTTCAAAACCAGACCCTCTGAAAACATTTAACCATCACCAGTGGCTTATCTGTCTAAAAGGCCACCAGGGATGCTCTTCTTTTCTGATCTTACCATATTAACTAGGATCCAGTTTATATATCTATTATTAACTGTGGTGAGAAACTACTACAATTAAGAATCAGGAATCCTAAGATCCAAATCTGCCTTTGCTCTCTATCAGCTATGTGACTTTCAGAAATCATTTATATTCCTTGAGCTTTCGTTTCTTAACTGGAATGTTTTATAACAGATTACTGAAGAAAACATGATGATGATATAAACTCACCTGCCATACATAATGCTAGCAAATGGGTGGCATTCAAAGAGCCAAAGCAAAGCCATTTATATCTCAAGATTCATTGATAACTGTATTTTTGCCAGCATATTTAAATCCTGACAAAGAAACCTATGTATTTTCATATACTAAGATTAGTAAACAAGTTGAGTCTGTCTTTAGGCAAAACAACTCCTTCTGATAGCCAAATAGTAAGCAAAATTCTAATTGTCTCTTTCTCTGGATTGCCTTTGTGGACACAAAATTTAGGAAACTAAGTTGTCTCAGTTTGCCCAGGACTATCCGTCTTAAAACTGTAAGTCTTGTATTTCAGGCAAACATGGATGGTCAACTTTCATCACATCATAGACGAAGATTATAAAATATAGTCACATTAAATTATAAAAGAGAGTCACATTAAAAGTTGCATTCTTACAATTATGGCTGGTAAGAGTATCATAATATAACAAAGTAAACCCCAACCCACATCTTTTCATAACAAAATCATTTAAGACATCTCATTTGTTATAATCAACAAAGCAGTTTAATAATGATATTAATTCTTTAATAAATTCACCAAATTTCCAAGCTTACGTTTTCCTAAACAGTTAACACATTGACTTCTCAGAACCACAAAACATTCCTGTAAGTTAGAAAATTAAGGGCCTATAATCCTAGCACTTTAAGAGACAGGAGGCTATCTTGAGCCTGGGAAGTCGAGGCTGCAGTAAGCTGTGATCATGCCATTGCACTCTAGCCTAGGCAAAAGAGCAAGATTCTGTCTCAAAAAACCAAAAAGAACAGTTGGGACTTGTGCCCCCATCTTGTACTCATTGTCTCATCTTTTTCCTGTCTCCTAAAAATTCCTATCACGTCCTATATTGAGAAAGCTAAAAGTTAAAACCTAACTCTACAACAGTCTTCAGGATCTAGATGTTTAGAGGCATTAATAGCACTCCAATAAGAAATTCAGTGATCAGTATGCATTTCTGTAACGTAGTCTAACAAAGAAGCTAAAGGTATCAATCTGAACTCTAGCACATTTACCAAAATATAACACACCAAATCTGTTAAGTGATTCTGAGATTCTAAGTTTTGGATCTGCAAATGGCCGTAGGAATTTTGAGAGACCATAGCTATGTATAAAGTGAAATCAACAACTGATACTGTAAAATACAGATTTTCCAAGTGCTTTGAAATGTATCTAAAAAGTCAAATTAGAATTGGGGGTGGTAGCATGAAACTGTAATCCCAGCTACCCAGAAGGCAGAGGCAAGAGGTTCACCTGAGCCCATAAATTCAAGAGTAGCCTGAGCAACACAGCGAGACTCCCCCAAAAAAGTCAAATTAGAGAGGTACTATTTCCACTTTACACAAATAAGTAAATTTTCTGTGCATAAATTTCCATATCTTGTTATAATCAGATACCTAAGACACTAACTTAGTTCTAACAAAGCCACGTGAGTAAGTCCGTGCCATTGAGTTGGTTCATTCTACGACATCACAGTATCAACAATAATCAGTTAAAGAATTTGGGCAGTTGGCCGGGCGCAGTGGCTCACGCCTGTAATCCCAGCACATTGGGAGGCAGAGGCGGGTGGATCACGAGGTCAAGAAATCGAGACCATCCTGGTCAACATGGTGAAACCCCGTCTCTACTAAAAATATAAAAAATTAGCTGGGCATGGTGGCGCGTGCCTGTAATCCCAGCTACTCGGGAGGCTGAGGCAGGAGAACTGCCTGAACCCGGGAGGCAGAGGTTGCGGTGAGCCGAGATCCCACCATTGCACTCCAGCCTGGGTAACGAGCGAAACTCCGTCAAAAAAAAAAAAAAAAAGAATTTGGGCAGTTTATCTTGGCGGGAGGGGATGACTGTGGAAAAGGAGAAGAATTTTCATTAAGAATTAAGAATTCTTCTAAAATGTGAAGCACAACTAAACTTTCAATTAATCTAGTAGTTTTAAAAAGTCATACTATACATGAAATAATCCATTTCTCAAATATAATTGAAATAGTTGGGTTCTACCTCATCTTGCAATCCAGATAACTACTTCCATTCTACAAAGAAAGATAAAACCAAAAAACTATAACATTATTAAACTATGAAGATTAGGAGATAAATACAATAATCATAAAACCAGAACTAATTGGTTAACAAATTTAACAATGAGTCCTTGTAGTGTAAAATTTATATATTTAAATGTGAGTAAAAAACATCATAGACTAAGGAAAAGAATGGATAAAACTTGGGTGGTAATATACAGACAAATCATATGTTGTGTAATAACTCAAAAACTTTACTAATTTTAATTTGACCAGATGATGCTATTTCAGGTTAGAATAATTATTTCATTGACTGAAGAAGTATTACTGACCTAACCAACTCATTTCATTCAAATTACACATTTGTATTAATTTCCAAGTTTATAAATATTGCTTCTTTAAAAATAAAACACAACATGTCTAGTGTAGACCTAAACATTAAAATTTTTAACATAATACGCCGGGTACAGTGCTCATGCCTGTAATCCCAACTTTGGGAGGCTGAGGCGGATGGATCACAAGGTCAAAAGATCAAGACCATCCTGGTTAACATGGTGAGACCCCATCTCTACTAAAAATATAAAAATTAGCTGGATGTGGTGGTGCACACCTATAGTCCCAGCTACTTGGGAGGGTCAGGCGAATCACCTGAACCCATGAGGCAGAGCTTGCAGTGAGCCAAGATCACACCACTGGCACTCCAACCTGGCAGCAGAGTGAAACTCTTGTCTCAAAAAAAAAAAAAAAAAAAAAAAAAAAAAATTTAACATAACAGACTGAATAAATCAAAAAACTAATTTCCCCCCATCCTATGTCTAGTTTGGGCACTACCTAAGAAAAGGCTGTATCTTCCATTGATCATTTTTTAAGTATGGTCCTATTAAAATTTGTAAGTATTTCAAAGGATTTTTTAGAAACCCTGAATTTTTAAAGTGAAGTAATACAGATTATATTGCTAAATATCCTAATTGAATTGTTAGTTCTTCCTACCTCATGGCAAAATATACATAAAACATACAGATGATATGTAAAATTCACTTTCACAAATAACTTATCATAACAAAAGTATACATCTCTCTCTCTTAACCAAAGTATACAACAACTGTAAAGTAGATCCCACTGTCCCACTAATAAAACCAAAAATAAATTCTAGCCTTTATAAAAACCGCTTAGCTATCACGTTTAAAACAAAACAGCAATTATCTTCCAAAACATTTATTCTCCAATAGTAAAAACTATGATCACCCACCTGAACGAACATATTTAAACTCAAACCAATTTTTAAATATTAAAGTCATCAAAATCTTAATCTGTAAAATTAAATTTTAAAATGTAATGCAACTTTTAATTATGTATCATTTCATACAGATTTCTAGTTTAATAACCCAGTATTTCAGATCCATCATTTGTAACTATTATGGCAAATTACAAACAACGTTTCCAATTTAAAAAGTATATACTTCTTGACAAAATACATGATGGTACTTAAGCTGTTAAAATGTAAGAGGCCAGGCATGGTGGCTCACACCTGTAATCCCAGCACTTTGGGAAGCTGAGGTTGGCAAATTGTCTGAGCTCAGGAGTTTAAGACCAGCCTGAGAAACATGTGAAATCCTGTCTCTACTAAAATACAAAATATTAGCCAGGCATGGTGGTGTGCATCTGTAGTCCCAGCTACTCAGGAGGCTGAGGCATGAGAATTGCTTGAACCCGGGAGGCAGAGGTTGCAGTGAGCTGAGATCATGCCACTGCACTCCAGCCTGGGAGACAGAGCAAGACTCCATGAATGAATGGATGAAATCCACATGGTTTTCACAATTACGTAAATACTTCTTGATTTTGGTGACACCTGTTTGTTGCAAAACTATAGACCAAATATCCACAATCCACCTATTACGTAGAATAAAGTTGAATCTACAGTATCACACACACACACACACAAAAACATCAAGCCTCAATTCTCTACAAATCATCTATCCAGACTATGTCATACTACAAAGAATGCAAGGGCAGTGAGGAGGGAGAGGTAACAAATAAGAAGAATCTCTAAATAGTCAAAGTAAATGTCAGAAAGACCATGGCTCATAAAAGGTCCTCTTCTTACATATCCATTCCCATAGTAGGCACAATTATAACTGCTATCTAAAATCATAAAGGAAAAGAAACCACAAATTTAGAAGGAGAAGGAGGGGCAAAGGGTAAGCATAGCTGCAGCTGCCCTAAGGCATCAGAAGTGTAGTAATGACAAACCAATACTGAAAATACAGTTACATTATGTTGCATATGTTCAGTAAAGAAGATATTTTTA